ATTATAGATTATCTTAGGCAATAGTTTCCAGACTTCATCCAACTTTCCTGGCTCGAGGAAGTCTGAAGTCCATGAGAATTAGAAATTCTGCATTTTCCCCTTTATTTTACATTTTTAAACATTTGTTAATTTCTCTTAATAAAGGAGTCAAAACACAAGCACAACATATGGAAGACTATATTTTCTCAATAATTTATATTCATAGCAAATGATGCTATTTTCTATTTAAGGTAGTATTATAAAATTTCCTTTAAAAATAAATGTACGTGAAAAAAGAAAAAATGTAAATAAAAAGTGAATCAATTTAAAGAAAAATATTAAGAAAATAATGTCTATTTAGGTGATATAGAAATAAAGCAAAAATCATGACATATCCCTGCAAGGATTGAATTTCAGGAAGCACTATCTCAAGGCAAAACAATGATTCATGTCAGGAATTTTAGGCAAGGGGCAAAACCCTCTGGAGTTTGTGGTGCCCTAAGTGACTTCCAACTCGCATGCAGTGTAGTATGAAGCCCTGAGGGGTAGGAGCACAAGAGTTACATTTCTGGTCCTCTTGTCAACTGGCTTGACCTAGGCAAGTGACTTCTTTTACTTAGATCTCAATTTTTCCATCTGTGAAATGAAGCATTTGGACTCAACAAACTCTAAAGTCTCTTTCAGTTCAAATACCTATGATTCTGTGTTCCAGTAAATGAATGGGCCACACAAGGAAATGATTCTGTTCATTGACCAAAATTATGATGCTATAATTGTTGCATGTTATAGATAAATTCCTAATAAACCATAATTCTAAGAGCGCTTGAGAGAGGTGGAGGTTGGCTGTAGGGATGAGTATAGCAAAACCTGACCTGACCCTGTGAGCTCAGGGTCTCTGGACTTAGGAGATGCCAATGGTTATTGCTTAAGTCCAGAAGCAGGGGCTCCTCACATTGACAGAACAACAACAACAAAAGTTTAGAGTCGGCCCCAGAGACAGAAGAAACAGCAGTCTACCTAAGGCTATTTCAGAGAGAAGCAGAGAAAATCAATCACTATTGTTTAATATAGGGCTTTATTTATAAGGGTAATACTTTATATGTACTCAAGAGTGGACCTGCTATAATAATATGAACATTAACATGCTGTCTACTCAACCTGGCATTAACATGCTGCCTACTCAACTGCTCAAGGGAGTCAGGTTTTTGTCTTAGACGCAGAGTTTTTAGGTGGGTGAAGAACACAGTTGCAGGTTAGTTCAGTATGCTGTGCAGGTCAGAGTTGGAATCCCTGGAAGCCACACACAGGGAAGTGCTCTTCCAACCTAGGGGGCCATCCTGAGTAACTGAGGATGGTAGAAAGCTTAAGGAGCAGGACCTACTATGTCAGAATCCCACTAGGTCTGAATGCATCTTTAGCTGGCTAATTGCTGAATGACTTAGCTCAGCACCCACAGAAGATGGGGCAGGCTAATTCCACAAACAACAACTACTATTGCTTACAGAAGGAATTTTAGGCAAAGGTCAGGCAAAGTTAAGTGGACAGGCATGGAGTGGTGTGGATGTGGCTAACAAGAGTAAACACTCAAAGTCAAGTTTTTAATGCACCATGCTGGGCAACAAAATGCATCTGAGGCTGAATTCTTCCCTTAGACAGACAGATGTGTCTGTTAACAGAGTAACTGAAGATAATTTTGAGTAATTTATTATTCCTGTTAACCTAAGGGAGATACTTTCTAATTTCAGAATAGATTGAATAAACGTCCACATATTATGATTTAGAATGAAAAGTTTCCATGAAGTTTTGAAAATAAAGACATCAGAGTTCAAAGATTTTTGTTGCTTTTTGTTGGTGCTTTGCATCTCTGGGGTGTGTGTTCCCCACCCTGGGCTGCTGAGGTTCTCTGAGCAGCATTTTAAGCAAGGAGAACCCAAGAGAGAGAGGGGCAGGGCTGGGTGGAGTCAGCCCCTGAGCTCCTAGTCTCTGGGCTGTTTTTCTGCTTCTGAAACGGCTGCTGTTGCCCATCCTGTGGGTGTGAGTCGGCAAATGATGGGTGGGTGTGAATACTTGGATAAAGTGGTAGATGCCTTCAATTTTCCATCTTGGTGACAAAATTGCAATTTTTACACTTAAACTAATAGGACTATGACTCACACTTCATATTTTATGTAGTTAACTACTTTCAAAAGTGAGATCATTATTCTGATTACTTCTTATTGGAAATGGGGGTAGGGTGCTAATTCTGCAGGAATCCACTATTAGCAAAGCGAAAAGCTCAGCTGTACCAGAGAGAGAGAAGAAGAGGGGCATGAAGAAGTTAGGATGGATAGAAAGGGACAGAAAGGAAGGAGAAAGGGAAAAACATGCAAGAAGCAAAAAACTGAGTTTGGTATCTTTGGAACCATTTGGTTTTCATACTGAATAATGAACTTTTTCATTAAACAGATACTCCGTTCTCTTTACAGAGTAGCCCATGGTGGTGGGAAAAATCCATGGCACCTGGAAATTTCTGTTAAGACAGATACCTTGGTGTTCCTGACATGTGAGACCAGAAGATCATTTCACATTCTCCAGTCTGCGAATTTACTTTTATGAAGATGAGCAACTTTTAATCTACTTTCAAGCTAGGAAAGTGGCCATAGTTATTATTACTTTATTTGTTTGGTATGGCTATATCCTATTCCAGTTTAAAAAGATGGTTTTTTTATTTTTATTTTTTTTAGTCAATCATGGTACAGTCATACAATATGAAAAAACAAAAACAAAAACCGACTACTGTAGAGTTGAATCCAACTCATAGTGATTGCTACTTGGGTTTTGCAGGATCTCTATGAAAATAGATTGTCCAGACTGCCTTCCGAGGAGTGGCTGGTGGGTTTGAACTGTCAGCCTTCAAGTTAGCAGTCAAATGCCTTAGGCACTATGCCACTGGATCATACAATATAGCTGTTACAAATTAAATTTATACAGAGTGTTTTACGACATGGGAATATGTTTATGTTATAACATGCACAAAAATTTGGAGTTAATATTCATATATACACATCTATTTAAAACGATATAAAAATAAATATATGGACAACTCACTGGAATAAAATATACAAGAATGTAAACCATTAGTATTTATAGGTCATAACCCACCAGCCACTCCTGGGAAGGAAGGTTGGGCAATCCTACTTCCGTAGTGATACTGCCTCGGAAACCCAAGGAGGGTTCGCTATGAGTCGGGTTTGACTCAACGGCACATAACAACAACAACAACAACAAGGTTTTAGATGGTTTTTATTTTCTACTTAAAAAAAAATTTCCACAAGAATATGTATTAATTCTATAAACAGGAAAAAAGGAACGTTTATTAGGCAACCAGTCATCCCTTACAGACTTGGGACTGAGTGGATTATTTACACTTGGTTAAGTGACAGCTAAGTTATGGCTCATGTTTATGTGCCATTGCCCATGAATCACCATGATGTCATTTGGTGACTGTGATTTCCAGCTACTGCTATTGCCATTACCATCAAATGACAATTTATCTACCACTTCATGCTCAGGGATCAGTGTAGGATTAGAGCCGAGCTTCTTT